ACAACGTAAACCTTAATCCAGACAAGAGAGAGGTGCTTTTGGTCAGTTGAAAGGCAAATCAGGGAATAGGGATGCAGTTGGATGAAGTTACATTCCTTCTGAAAATACAATTGGGCAGCTTGGGTGTGCCCCTGGATTTGTCTCTGAACCTGGACATCCAGATTTTGGCAGTGGACAGGAGTGCCTTTGCACAGTTAAAACTAGCGCACCAGCTCTGCCCATCTCTTGAGAGGTCTGATCTAGCTAAGGTGACACATGCCCTAGTTACATACCCGGTGGATTGCTGTAATGCTCTCTATGTGGGGCTGCCTTTGGAAAGTGTTCGGAAATTCCAGTGGGTCCAAAATGCCACAGCCAGATTGCTAAGTGGGGCTGGTTACAGGGAACAGATAACTCCCCTGTTACAGCAGCTCCGCAGGCTGTCAATCTGTTTCCGGGCACAATTCAAAGTTCTCTAAAGCCCTAAACAGCTTGGGTCAGAACTATTTCAAAGACTGCATCTCTGTTTATGAGCCTGCCTGGGTGTTAGGGTCCTCAAATGAGGTCTTTCTCTTGGTCCCACCGCTCTCATAGGTGCACTTGGTGGGGACATGGTAGAGGCCTTCTCTGTTGCTGCTCCCAGACTTTGGAACTCCCTACCATGGGAAGCTAGGCTGGCTCTATCCTTGCTGTCCTTCTGCTAGGAGGCAAAGACCTTGCTGTTCAGGCAGGCTTTCCCTTAATGATTGGTTGTTTAAGAAGAGTTCTAAAATGGGGTGGTTTGTATTTTTGTTTTTTTTAAAATCTGTTTTAGTAGTGTTTTTATCTAACATTTCAAATATAATGCTTATTTAATTCTTTTTAAATATTTGTATAACCTACTCTTTTTAGCTTTCAGATATTACCCTTTTTAATGATGTAAGCCAGTGGTTCTTAACCTTTGTTACTCAGATGCTTTTGAACAGCAACTCCCAGAAACCCCAGCCAGCACAGCTGATGGTGAAGGCTTCTGGGAGTTGCAGTCCAAAACTCCTGAGTAACCCAAGGTTAAGAACCAGTGATGTAAGCCATCTTTTAGGAGAAAGGTGGGAGGTAGGTATACAAACAAACATTGCAGAATTCAGCCTTTAGTGTTACAGTTGAAACATTTGTTCTACTATTTATAGCAAAGGGGTTTTGATTCCAAAGTCTTTGCTATGACTAGAGAGGCTCTGAATCAGTTCTGTATCAAATATCCCTATACTATTTATGTTCCTTATTTTTCCTGTTATTCGACTTAATAATATTATTTTTTTCTTAGTAAGTAATTAAACTGAATGCATTTTGTGGGCTTTATCCTCCTGTATATTCATCTGTTTAATAGGAAGAAAACAGATTTGAGTTATTACATGGATAGCTTTGTCATGGATTTTTGTTTTGTGTTAGTATACCCATAACTCCACATTTGTTTCCATGACCTAGATGGTACATCGTTTCATATCTGACACTATTGTTCTTGATCAAATTTAGGATACCTCAGAAGAAACAATTTTAAAGATAATTTCTGGGCTGAAGATTCATGAGTTTCGACCTTCTAATAAGGTAAGTTTAGCAACTGAATAATGTTCTTCATTCTACCCCTTATTGTTTTGGTGTTAATGTTGCCCATGTCTGCATTTTTATTAGAGTTTCCGTAGCTTGCGTCCTGTTTTATTTCCTGTACAATATCAGTTACCATGTACTCAATTATGCCTTTACATCAGCCATTCTTTCCTAACATCAGTCCTCTTTCTTCAGTATGAGGTAGCAAGGGCAAGCAACAATTGTCCTTTAGATCAGCAGTCCCCAACCTTTTTGGAACAGTGGACTGGTTGGGGAGTGGGGGCACCCCCATGCTTGTGGGTGTGTGTGTTGCGCTCATGGGGGGATGTGTTGTGCTTGCGCGACATGCTCACCATGAGCGTGACATGCCCACCGTGCGGGACGGAGATGGGGATCTGTCTCCACAGCCCAGTCCTGGTAAGGCTATGGACAGGCACCAGGCTGTAGACCTGGGGTTGGTGACCTCTGCTCTAGATCAGTGGTTCTAGCCTTGGTTCTCCAGATGTTCTTGATGTAAAACTCCTAGAAGTCTTCACCACTAGCTGTTCTGGGAGTTGTAGTCCAAAAACATCTGGGGACTCAAATTTGGGAGCCACTGCTCTAGATAATGTTGGACTACACCTACCATGATCCCTTACCTCTGGCTATGCTAGTGACAATGGCAGTTAGGGGCTGAAAACATCTGGAGAGCTACAGTTGCCCACCCTTGCATTTTCAGGATGCATATAACCATTCTGAGAAAATAATTCATATGAAATATATTTCATATTTTAAAACATTTTATAAATGATAATTCTTTTCCTTCTTTATTTTTCCTTTCCAAAATTTGAATTAAGTGCTATTAAAATAGATGAGACGTTGGATAACTTAATTTAAGACTATATTCACTTTTTCATATAACATAAAAATAGACTTATTTTTGTTCAAATTATAAACCTAACTTTAAAAAATATATTTAGGTTTTCTTTCAGTGGTATATTCTCAGGAATCTAAGTATCTCTGGAAGCAAGCAATTTAAATGTATATATGTTGTTGAGCGTCATATTTACAGAAAGCCACACTAGGGTGCCTTTGCAAGTCTTCCATAAGATTTGTAATTGCAGAGGCACAATTTTTGCTTTTGAAATGTGTGCTTTATAGTGTTTTATAGAACTAACAATCAAACAGTTTTTATGTTATTAAATAAATCTATGAATATGTCATTCTTGTTGATCATATAGTATGAGATCAACATTTCATCAAATCTGTGTCAATCAACTAGACTCTTGTACAGAAAGGGGTCTTGGAGTAATGTCTCCTCTGTTTCTCATTAATATTTGTAGATTGTACAGACAGATGAAACAGTGAGGAAACCAGATCCTATTCCAGTAAGTAGTGAAGATGAAAGGAATGCTGTTATTCAGTTGGAGACTGCCATATTGGCCAATGAAGCTACAAAAAGTGAGTAGTAGTTACTAGAGGTATTTCTATGCCACTTTTCAAACTTAAACAGAACCACTATGGGCAGTGAATGTCAGATGGTTCACATCATCTGCATCTCAGATGCAGGTGAGATGCACATTGGGTCTCTTCCAATGACCTTGGTAATTGTGTGAGTCATATATATGTTAGCGTAAACATGCGATAATTCAGCAGGTCCTGGTGGTAAGGTGACTCAAGCAGATACAATATATCTTCTATACACAGTCCACATATATACACTTGTGCATCTGCCTGTGTCCAGTCAGCACAGATGTTGCATCATCCTTGAGCCAGCCCTCCTGAGTCACTATTACTCAGCACTTTAACACACCTGAACATTATGGCTGCTCATTAAGACATTTGTACTGCTCAGGCCTCTAATTTTTTTTACTTTGGCAATATAGAACAAAGTTGTCTCTTAAATACAGTGGGGCCTTGACTTACAAACGTCCCTACTTACAAAAATTTCGAGTTACTAAAAGCTCCGGCTGCAAAATTTTGCTTTGACTTGCAGCCAGAGCTTCCAGTTACGAAGAGAAAAAGGCAGGGAAAAAAGGTGGGGAATTCAAACAGTTGGTGGCGAAGAGGCTGCTTCTTTACCCCAGTGGTTAGGAAAAGGGAGGCTCAGTCTCCTGGGCTTCCAACACTGCCCCGACCGCCACGCTTTGACAGTGCTTTGGAAGCCCAGGAAGCTGGCACCCGGTGTGGTGGTCGGGGCAGCGTTGGAAGCCCGGGAAGCCAGCACCTGGCACAGAGGTCTGGCTGGCTTTCAGCTTCCTGGACTTCCAAAGCTGACCCCACTGCTCTCTGCCTCCCGTCCCTGCTGTAGGAGGCAGTGGGGACAGGAGGCAGAGGGCAGCGGGGACAGCTTTAGAAGCCCGGGAATCTGAAAGACGCCCCGACCTCCATGCTGGGTGCCGGCTGCCTACATGTGCAACGCCCCTCCAGTGCCCTCTGCCTCCCATCCCCATTGCCCTCTGCCTCCTGTCCCCGCAGAGACAGGAGGCAGAGGGCAGCGGGTGCAGCTTTGGAAGTCCGGGATTTTTTTTCTTTGGCTAGAATGGATTAATTGCTTTTCAGTGCATTCCTATGGGAAATGGTGTTTCGACTTAACAAAATTTTTGAGTTACGGCCACCGGTCCAATACAGATTAATTTCATACATCGAGGCACCACTGTATCCCCTTTGTACCTAGCAAGAGGGCAACAAACAAAATGATAAAGAGATGTCAGTGGTTAATAGTCTAGCTGCTACATTCTGAATTAGCTATGATTTTTTCTGCATCGTTTTCATAGGCAGCTTCATGTAAAGTTCATTACCCCAGCCAAGCCTTGCTGTAACTGAAGCATATATGACTGAGGCCTAGGAAGGGATACAACTGATGTATGATGGGTATAGTTGGTACATTTACCGTCATGCTTAAAAGACATCTGTATGAAATTTACCCTTTTTTCCTTAAGGGAAAAAGGGTAAATTAAAAGAATAAGCGTTTCAGTATACTTAAAAAGTGACTAGGAATCCCTACATAATTCTAAGCAACCATGACTTTTGTTTTGGGACAGATGACTTACAAATGAAGGAACTTGCTTTTGAAAAGGATGATGACAGTAATGGGCACATTGACTTCATAACAGCAGCTTCCAATTTGCGAGCCAGAATGTATAACATAGAGCCAGCAGACAGACTCAAAACAAAACGGATTGCGGGAAAGATTATCCCTGCCATTGCAACTTCTACAGCAGCCGTGTCTGGCTTGGTGAGTGAAGGAAAGTGCAGTCCCTGCCCCCTGCTTCAACATCTTTGGCTAATGAGTAACTAAAAACATAGCAGAGATAATAGAAGAGCCTCTCTCCCGCTCCCTCCCTTTCTCTCAAGTTCAGCTATGTGTAATTCTATTTGACAAAGTTGTCTTTAGCATTCTCAAGCCCACTGTATTTGCTCCAACATGTCCATATGTGCTTACTTTCATTATTCACAAATGAGTTACGTTTGTACCATGTCCCATAAAAAGCATTCTGGCACTGAAGACTTCTAGGTGAATTGCCTGATTTGTAAGCATGAATACAAAATGTTGGTCCTACCCCAACTCTCCGTACTGCTGTAGTTTCCATGTAGTTTCCTTTTCTTGAAAATAAAAGTATTATGTAGACTAATCTCTTCACTAGATTGAAATTGGCCAAGGAGGGATAGTTTCTGTACAAAAGCTCTTCTGCTCGCCTGGAACCATCACTTGACATGGCCTAACCATGGTGTTCACTTGAGTTCTGCACTGAAGTGTCTTTTGGATAGGAACATGGTCTCTTGTCAACTGGTCTAAAGTGGGAGCTTAGACACGTTATTGTTTGGACCACTAGTTAATCGCTGGAATGCAGTAGTAATAGGTAACTGGGGTAGGTCTGTTAAAGCAGTGGGTATTTTGTGAGTTGACAATTCCATTGATTCAATGGTCCTACCCAGGTTACAGTTTAGTATTGGACTTCAGCCACAGAATCACATAACCACTATTGTAAAAATATATGTTGTATTTTCAAAACTCTGTGAAAAACCTATTTAGAGGGGTTGGCAGCAAGTTTTCTGTTCTTGGATAGGCCACATAATACCTCCCCCCCCCCCAATTCAGAGTGCCAGAGGTTCACTTCCTGTTCATAAAAGCCTTTTTTGTGTGATTGTTTTTGTTTTTAGTAGAAGATATGGTGATGAAGCAGTAAACATCTGATTTAAAAGAAATGACATCCCCTTGAGGTTTTGAGGAATAGCAGGTCTCTTATTTCAGCTATTTTCCCCTAGGAAGATGAATCTGTGGGTACAGTAACTGGGCTGGAAGACAGACATAGTACTTGTGTTCCCACAACTGGGCAAGTGAAAATATTTGGTAATATTTTGCCCAGGGTTTACTTTTCTCTTCAGAAGTTGTATATGAATTAAGGGATATCCTGTGACATATTGTTGGCCTCAAACTTCAAAGAGTTTCCAATTCCTTTCAGCAGACTGATTTTATTATACCTATTAGAATAAACTGCAGTGTCTACAATTATGAGCATGTGATAAGGTATGTTAAAAAAAATTCAGATTGTACATTTCCTTCTGCCCCCTAGGTTGCATTGGAATTGATCAAAGCAGTGGGTGGCTACCCCTTTCAAGCATATAAGAACTGCTTTTTCAATCTGGCTATTCCAATAATTGTTTTCACGGAAACAGCTGCAGTGAGAAAAACAGAAATAAGGTAAATAGAGTTTGCAGGGAAGAAAATTTAGTATTTCTGTCATTTTGGAGTCTGGAGGGGCTCTTTCAGTTTTGGCTTCCTTCAGTTACTGGCCCTTTTAGTGAACACAACCTAAATCTTGTGGGGTTCTTTTATTTTCCCATTCTGGTTTCTAGGAGTAGACCTGATTAAGCCGAACAGAATCCTCAGAACTACTATAATCTCCCCCCCCCCAAAGGAGGGACAAGGCAACAGACAATCAGCCATTCAATAAGTGGACAACAACAACAACAGTATAAAGAAAAATCAGTCAGTCACAGGTCTATACAGGCACTAAGAATACTTTAAAGTTCAAAATTATCATCACATCAACATCCACTTCATTTTCATCAGTCCCTCTGCAGGAAATAGTACAGATGTTTGGAATCCTGAATCTTTCATATTGCAGAGACTCTCCATCAGAAAGCCAGAAAAGACTAAAAAATGGAAAATAGGGCCTCTGTAGTGTTTTTCCCACATTCAGGTTAACTTGAAAGTCTCATTTCATTTAAATAGCATGAATTAAGCTTTTTTTTTTTTAAAAAATGCAGTGTACTCAGAGCAGTTAATGGTCACATGTAGTGTCCTAAGGAAATCCAGAAGCTTTGTGTAGAACATGCTTCTTTTATTAATTAATCAGCTATGATTTAAAATTGTTGATAATATCAAATAATTTAAAACTTTCAGCAACAAGTTTTGGGTGAAAACGTATTTCATGTTTATATTTTGTGACAGAAATGGGATATCTTTTACAATCTGGGATAGATGGACTGTTTATGGAAAAGAAGATTTCACTCTCTTGGACTTCATAAATGCTGTCAAAGTAAGATGTTTATATTAAATATATAGTAACATCAGCTGGGTGATATTATTGCTGTTTCTTGTTCTCCTTTGTTATTTTTAGTTCACTCTCTGTCCTATAATTTAAATTATTTCTATGTTTCTGTGTTTCAGGAAAAATATGGAATTGAACCTACTATGGTGGTTCAGGGAGTTAAAATGCTGTATGTCCCTGTAATGCCAGGGCATGTCAAACGACTAAAGCTGACGTAAGTATTAATTGGCTTGCTGCAGCTGCCTTTCAACCTGGGGAAACCTCTGGGACCCTCTACACACACGCGCACACACACACACACAGAGAGACACACAGCCATATTCAAGCTTTAATAGATAAAAATTGCTGCCAGTGATCACTGTCTTGTTGGTGGTGATCTGGTGGTAACTTTTAGCTATTAAATCCCCCTCTCTTACACACACATCAAGGCTCCCAGAGGCTCCCCCAGGATGAAAGGTATCTCTAGGAAGCCTCAGAACCTGAGGGGGAGGTTGGGAATCTTTCAGTTAATCTAATTAAAAGATTACCATCATGGGATGTTACCCATAGTATAAAGTTGCACCAAGAGGATTTTAGTCCTTAAATAGTAAATCTAAAAAAAATCCTGATGTGTGTGTGTGTGTGTTCAGGAATCCAGCCAGTATCCCATTACTTAGCAGCAATTTGTTGCCATTTGCACAATATCACTTATGCTAGTGGAAATCATCAGTTGGATTCTGGCCTGAGTTCATGAATACAGTATTCTATTGAAACCTCTATGACAGAGGTGAGTTCATCTTGTTCACTGAGAATTGGATGCTGGATGGCAGATGTCATTTTATTCACTCAACCAAATAATCTCAGCAGCACTCTGTTCTCTTCTCCTTTCCCCCATAGTTTGTTTATTGGTTTGTTCTGTGGTTTCATGCCTGTGCAAGCAGGGTGGATAAAAATCATGTTTTTAAAACAAAATTGATATAAATCATAATTTAAATCACAATTTAAAGTATTAAAAATTAAATTTTAAATCATCAAAAAACCCAGTTATTTTTATTTAATTTATGATTTAAATAACAACTTAAATCAACTTGCTTTAAATCAAGTGCACAAGTATCTGAGAAGGGCAGATTACTGAGTTTCAAGAAGGGAGAGGGAGTCAAGAGATAAAAGGAACAACAGGTAAATTTGGTCTTGGAGTTCAAAACAAAGCAGGGCAAAGGCTAATAGAGTTTTGTCAAGAGAACAAGCTGGTCATCACAAACACTGTTTTCCAACAACACAAGAGGTGACTCTACACATGGACATCACCAGATGGGCAATACCGAAATCAGATTGATTATATTCTCTGCAGCCAGAGGTGGAGAAGCTCTATAAAATCAGCAAAATCAAGACGTGGAGATGATTGTGGTTCTGATTATCAGCTTCTCATAGCAAAAATCAAGAAACTGAAGAAAGTAGGAAAAACCACTGGGCTAGTCAGGTATAATCTAAACCAGGCGTTTTAAACTCAATTTACCTGGGGGCCGCTAGAGGCAGAGTCTGGGTGAGCCTGGGCCACATCAGATTTTCCGCCAAGCAGAGCAAGAGCCCGAGGAAGCCGCCCAGGAGTTTCCTTAATCGACAGCCAGGTGGGCTGGCTGGTAGGCTGCAGTTCTGGATGGAGAGTGCAAGAGTGCTGTCTTGGGAGAGAGCCGGCAAGTGAGGCAAGGCTTTTTTTTTTTTACTCTTGACATGAGAGGATGTGTGGGCGCTTTGGGGGGGCAGGCAAGGCGAGGGCCACAAACTATCATCTGGGGGCCGCAAATGGCCCTCGGGTCGCATGTTTGAGACCCCTGATCTAAACCAAATCCCTTATGAATAAATAGTGGAAGTGAAGAACAGATTTAAGGAACTCGATTTGGTGGACAGAGTGCCTGAACAAATAGAGAAGGGAAACAAAATGTAGGGGAGGCAGAGAAAGTTACAGAAAATTAAAGGTTGACTTCCAAAGAATAGCAAGGAGAGACAAGAGGGCCTTCTTAAATGAGCAGTGCAAAGAAACAGAGGGAAAGAATAGAAAGGGAAAACCAAAGATCTGTTCAAGAAAAATGGAGATATTAAAGGAACATTTTGTGCAGAGATGGACATGATAAAGGACAAAAATGGGAGAACCTAAGCGAAGCAGAAGACATCAAGAAGAGGTGGCAGGAATACTTAGAGGAATTATACCAGAACGATTTGGATATCCTGGACAACCTAGACAATGTAGTTGCTGACCTTGAGCCAGACATCCTGGAGAGTGAAGTCAAGTGGTCCTTAGGAAGCATGGCAAACAACAAGTCCAGTGGAGGTGATGGCATTCCAGTTGAACTATTTAAAATCTTAAAAGATGACACCGTTAAGGTGCTACATTCAATATGCCAGCAAATTTGGAAAACTCAACAGTGGCCAGAGGATTGGAAAAGATCAGTCTGCATCCCAATCCCAAAGAAGGGCAGTGGCAAAGAATGCTCCAACTACCGTACAATTTCCATGCTTGCAAGGTTATGCTCAAAATCCTCCAAGGCAGGCTTTAGCAGTATGTGGACCGAGAAATACAAGCTGGATTTCGAAGGTGCGGAGGAACTAGAGACCAAATTGCTAACATGTGCTGCATTATGGAGAAAGCCAGAGAGTTCCAGAAAAACATCTACTTCTGTTTCATTGACTATGCAGAAGCCTTTGACTGTGCGGATCACAGCAAACTATGGCAAGTCCTTAAAGAAATGGAGTGCCTGATCAACTTATCTATTTCCTGAAAAATCTCTACGTGGGATAGGAAGCAACAGTTAGAACTGGAGATGGAACAACTGATTGGTTTAAAATTGGGAAAGGAGTATGACAAGGCTGTATATTGTCCCCCAGTTTATTTAACTTATATGGTGCTGGAGGAGGCTCTTGAGAATCCCCTGGACTGCAAGGAGAACAAACCTATCCATTCTAAAGGAAATCAACCCTGAGTGCGCACTGGAAGGACAGATCCTGAAGCTGAGACTCCAATACTTTGGCCATCTCATGAGAAGAGCAGATTCCCTGGAAAAGACCCTGATGTTGGGAAAGTGTGAAGGCAAGAGGAGAAGGGGATGACAGAGAATGAGATGTTTGGACAGTGTCATCGAAGCTGCCAATATGAATTTGACCAAATTCTGGGAGGCAGTGGAAGATAGGAGGGCCTGGGTGCTCTGGTCCATGGGGTCATGAACAGTCGGACACGACTAAATGACTAAACAACAACAAATGTTACAAGCCCATTTTTTAATATAGTGCAGTGCTTATCTGAACCCACATTAGCTGCATCATTAACATTTGTGAGTTGAGTTGTGGACATCAGGGAAGGTTGGCTCTTCTGTGGTGCATCTGCAGTCACCTGATTTTTGAATATTGTCTTCTAGGATGCAAAAACTTGTGAAACCAGCAGCAAATAAGAAGTATGTGGACCTCACAGTGTCATTTGCTCCAGAAACAGATGGTGAAGAAGACTTGCCAGGACCACCAGTTAGATACTATTTTGCCCACGAAGATAACTGATGCAGGTATACTGCTCTTGGTGTAGCAGGACTCCATGGAAGTGCGGCACCATATTTTTAAAATGGTACTAAATATTTGGTGAGGCCTTAATTCAAAAACACACAGTGGACATCAGTGAGTTCTAAGAAGCTCTTCCGCAAATTGGATTTGCAATTTACCTGTCTGTAATATTTTCATAGCAATGTGTAGCTAAGGAAGAAATGCAGCTTGCTGGAAATTTGGGTTCTTTTTGAAGAAATCATACATCTGCTGATGTCTGCAGGAAGACTAGAATAACAAGTAGAAAATCTGTGTTAGAAAAACTGATTTTTAGATGAGATGTCAATTAAACTATGGTGAAACTGCCCATTGCACGACATTCAGGCTTATTTTTCCCACACTCTTTTTCCTCTGCTGTATCTGAGGCATAGGCCAGCATTTTGGTGATGATCCACTGCAATAGTATAGCTTATCCTTGTTTTTGTTGTCCTCTGAAGGAAATTAACACTCCCAAATATGAAAATATTTCAATGAAATATGGTCAGACTGAGAAGAAGCAAGAATTATGATTTTTTTGTTTTCTCTGAAAAGCTTTTGTTCATACTGAAGTAAAACAACGTGGACAAAATCCAGCTTGATATCAATCATAATTTAAATCACAACTGTACATGGAAGGGCAATTGTACAGTGATTTTCCCCCCTTGTGTAATCACTTATTTTTACGATTGAGTGTTGGAGGGCAAAAGGCTTACACACAACTGATATGCAATTGTATTAGTAGGTAAGATTCTGGCCCATGAGGGGAATGCCGATTGTGTTGTAAACCTTTCTTTCCATGAACATAGTTTCTCAGAGCTGCTTTTTCAGAGAAGTTGGTTAATTATTCTTTGTATGAATATTTCTTAATACTTTGGTATAAACCGAACATACAGGTGTTGAGCATTTAGCTGAAATATGCCAACTATCATATCCTTCCTTCAGAGATCTTTGAGGTTTGTGATACTCTGACAGTTGCATGAATATATCAGCCAAACAGGGCAGGACTATATGCTTGGTGGCAGAACAGTGTATTTGCAAAGTCTAATCATTACAAAACATCCCTTCTGTTCATGGAAATTGTTATTTCCTGTATTCTCTACTTTCATAACTAAGGAAGAATCAGATTTAAGCATAGTTCTACATTCCCAAGATGCTTAATTATATACCAGTACTATTATTTATCTACTACTGTTGCTCTTTGTACATAAAGCCCGGTAATCTACAGTTTTTGAGAGTTTCACAGATGGTACATAATCCTATATGAATACTAGTATGCTTATGCCCAAAACAGAAGACTTGAATGTGACCAGCTTTGTTTGGGTTATGACCTGTTGTGTTTTTATATTGACCATTTATTTTAGAGTATTCTTTCTCCTCTTGTTGTGGTTGGTTCTGTAAGGTATTTTGACAAAACCTTCATGTTTTAGTTGTCATGGATCTAAAAATGAAACAGCTTAGATAACTTAATTTAAATAGCCCAATATAAAATGCATTTTTGGAGAGGTAGGAGGGAAGTAATTTTGCCCATAGTGAAGCAGTGGTGCAGTACAATTTCATTGGTTCATTTTTGCTTCTTAATGTAGATAACCCTGTATGGGTAAGCTTCACCTTTACTTCATTGCCCTGTTCCCTCCTCTTTTCTAGAGAAAATGTACTTCCAACAGGTCTAGTACTCACATGTTTAGCTCTTCAGAAAAAAAAAAATACTTGCAGTGGTTTCAGACTGTGTTCCTAAAGTGCAACATCCTAAAAATTGTAGTTATATCAATATTTTTAAATAACACAGTAATTCAGTATACAGTTTATGACAACAAGAGAAGTTATCTGTTTCCCAGTTTTTGTAGGCACTTGAGCACCAAAGATGTAATTATTTTTTGAGCTGCAGTCCATCTCAAAATTAATCCACTATTTGGGAATTAGTCTTAAAAAGTAGTCACTCTTTTTATATTTTATTGTATTTTCCTAAATACAGAGTTTACAGTTAATTATAATTTAATACATTTGATAACTGGTTTATTAATTTAATTTGTTTAATAGGTGTTTTAAAGCAATTAGGAGTATAGATACTCTGTGACAGTAGGAGATGGAAGGGCACTGTGTGTATTGCCATGTTGGCAATGGAGGCATATTGTTCAATGACATGGTAATACCAATGATATTTTTGATTGAGTTGGTTTTATCTTCTAGTTTGAAATAGTTATCGACTTGGCAGTCAACTGCGAACTCAAAAACACAGAGAGAATATGTACTAATAAAACAAAGATTGCTGTCAGGAATTTCCACGGGGCTATGATGAGTGATTTATTTGTTTACTTATTTTTTACAGTCATGGTGTGATCATGTCTTGTGCCAGCACTTCTTATTTTGTTTTATTAGACTCGTCAGTGTTCAAAAGTAGCAACAAGACTGTCTTTGCATTTGCAAAACTGCATTTGATGTCATACATCAGTAGACTTGAAACTGAATAACTTTTTCCAGCAAGTCTTCCTTGCAGAGCTTATTCTTTAGAAGTGTAGAGAACAGGAAGCAGTCCAAACAAATTGTCTCCTACCTGTTGTTCAGCTGCTCAGTCTATCTTGAGGATTATTCCACTCACGTATGTGGTCTCAAATAAAGAGTGCTTTCAGTTTAAACGAAAACAAACTACGAGGTCTCCGTGTAGTTCCACAATTTGTGTTTATCTCAGACTTAATTTCAATATGTTTTGAAGGACTGATTTTTATTTCTTTACACAAAATATGATGTATAGCCTAAGCAGTTATGAGAACTGCGTTTTGTCTTTTTCATATTAAATAATTTGAAAACATACCATGTAAATGTGAATGACTTGTTATTGGTTTGGGGTGGGAATATATTGTATCATGAAGCATGTATTTTTACATTGAAAATTACTAACAGTTTGCGAAGAGTCAGATATATAATATTGTGTTAGTGTGTGGAATGAAGACCAACATCTGGTCTTTAGTGCTATTTCTTTATGCAATCAAGCCTTTATAGAATAATTCCATATCCAACATTTACCCAACAGTAAAATAACTTGAGCTGGGAGGTGGCTTGGACAAATAATTGAGCCAAACAGATTAAGAAAGAATCAGTGTGAGACCAAATGTAATAAAAACCAAGGATCATCTGCCAGAGCTTGGTGAGTCCTGTTTTAGGGTGAATAGTTTTTTCAGGCTCATGTCGATAGTGATTTGGGGAGTTCCCCATTCCAGTTATTTGCCAGAATGCAGTTTCAGTAGTAAGACTAATAGTGGCTGCTCATCAGTTGGCTGGTGTGACTTTAAAAAAGCAATAAACATCCAAATTACTGATCCTGTCTCCAGGAGAGCTGGGCTAGCAGGTACTCAAGACTTATTATTCTCTTCAAAGATAATTTAGAATGAACTGAGAGAGAACTGACTACTATCCACTTGAAAAACTACAGAAGATAACTTGATCTGTGTACATTTCACTTGTGAAATATTGTAAGAAATCAGCAACTTGCTGTTGCATGCTGAGTCATGTGACTAGTGGGGGGGGCAACAGATGCCTATGCTGGTATCTTAATTCACAACTAAGATTTACACTAGAGTTGCACCTGTGGACATAATTAATAGCATTCTGGCTACTGTCATATTTCTGGGAGGGAACCTGTACACCGTATGTGCCATGGCTGGGGAGGTATTTCTACAGGTAGAGTGAGAGTTACTGTGGTGGTTCTGATGTTGCTGCATGCCCTGAGGTACTATGCAAGCCATTGGTTTTGTACAGCATTCTGCTCCCCTTCAAGGGTTCTTGTATTATTGATTGCTGCTGCTTTGCTGAATTGTACCTTCTAGAAACTTTCATTGATGACTTGTTATTAAGAAATGGAGAGAATGGAAGCACATGCTGGATTATATGACTGGGTGTGTGTGCTGAGAATGCAATCACATGAGTAGCCATTTACTAGCAACACATCGCAATTTTCCTCATGCAAGCATGCATGGACAGTAGGATTCTGTCTTGTAATTTTCTCCATATAAAAGCGTGCATTTATTTACTACATTCTATGGAGTTCAAAGCAACTTTCAGAACTTAGTCTCGATCTGCCTCTTTTCAGCAACCGTGATACATTGAAAGCCTTCAAGTCCATCCCATCTCCTGGGAATAAGCTATGGGGGGGGGGGAATCCCACCATACTTGAAGAGAATGGTAACCATTTCTGAGTATTGTATACTTATAAAACCGTGGAAAGGGTAATCATAAGTCATAATCAACTTGATGGTGCACTGTTTAGGCAGCCACAACTAAATTTTATACATGGTTTATTGAAAGATGAATCTTATTCAGTCCAAATGAGTTTTACTCTTGTTGGAAGTACATAGGCTCGAAGTCGTATGGTTCCCAAGCTTGATCCCCAGATGTTCTTGAACTACAACTCTGAAGCCATAGCCAGCACAGTGAAGACTTCTCAGAATCCAAGAACACTTGAGGACTTAACTGTTGCAGTTTAATGACAAAAGAGGCTATGAGAGCACTCATGGCTCAAAATACACACAATGTGTCTTGAGGAAATGGATTGTGATCCATGGAAGTTGGATAACCATGGAAAGGGTCACCACAAGTCACAAATGACTTAATGACATGCTATTATTCTTGTTATGTAAGAGCAAGGAGAAGAAAAAGCTAATGAGAAGATTTATATGAGTGAATATGTTAAATATATGATTTTAGCTATGTGCTTGTCATGACACCTATCTTTCTCTACCTAGTGTATGCTGCTAGGGCTTTTGGCAAAAAGAAAAAAGTTTATATTGGGAATTGTGTTATTCCTTTTGTTAGAAGAGCACAAGGCAGAAAAAACAAAAGCGTGGAATGATTTAACCATGGCTGACCAACCCTCCCTGGGGATACACTGTCTGGCCCTTTTTCTGTAAAAAGTGATCATTCTAGAGACTTATTAAGATGGGAAAAAATTGTTCATTTACAGTTATCAACTGTAGTTACAATCTAAATAGAAGAGACAATGTGGAGATTCCAGCATAGGAAAAAATCTCCATGGATGCTGCTTGAAAATAAGCAATAAAGGAAACTAAATTTTATCCTAACTTGCGTTATGAGAGTTTTGCCGCATTTCTGTGTCACCCCAATCCACAGCAAAAGGTAAGGAACTCTTGTTTCAATGTAAATCAGTGAGTGGGAACTGCTGAATGGGTGACAGCCTTCTGACTGGCAAGTTTAAGCCAACTTGATGTTGCCAGAGATGGAATTTAAAACCAGCACTCCTGGATTGACTTTGCAACCCCCATTTTGAAACGGAATAGCCATTTAGCCATGATTTTTGAACTCCTGTATTTTTTTCCGTATGAACCAGAGATAAGTAGCGCTCAGCCTGATGAAGGCATGAGCAGGCCAAAAGCTAGCATTTGTCTGTGACCTTTTAGTGGTTTAATAAGGATTTGCCTACTCTTGCCTTTGATCATGTGCAAAGGCCACATGGTTTTTTCTATGTTCTTTTTAGAACACCTATGAATCCTGAAGGAACAGCAAAGAATGTCAGGACTATAATAATTGGTGTATTTTTGTTAGAAAGAATGCCCACTTCTTAAAGTGGCTGGAACTCCCAGAAAATCTACCCCCCAGTCATACGGAAAACTTAAGTTACTTGGAAGTCATTGAATAGGCTACCAAATAGACTTGGCAGAACCAAAGTGAGCGTTACAAAATGGAGCCTTTGCACCAATACAGTCCTGTTCTTTATCAAACAGCATCTCCAGAGCCAGGCATTATAACAATCAGCACCCAGTTCTATTCACATGTACTGTATTGTATTATCCCTTCTAACTCTCCAGGCACACATCCAACTAAGTACTGCCAGCCAAAGCCAGTCACTCACCATACATACCAATACAAGATGTACTGTAGATACAATGTGGAATCACTCCAGGGATGGTTTCCTCTTTTCTTTTCAAAGACAAACTGCTATGAATACAGTATTTCAATCGAGCAACTTTAAATGCAATATTCACGTAATGAATTCTATTTTAATATATATATATGGCGGTGACTGGATGGACCAAGTAAAATGAAATAGCGACATGACAAGGACTGTATTATTTGTCGTGAAAAAAAAATTAAAATCTCTGAATGCTAAATTAACAGTTACATTCAAATCGTAGCTTTCTCCGCTGATTATACCTGCACGAATTCCTTTTGCCCCGTTTTTAAACATAGCCTACTCAAAAGTAAACCCGCAAGTTGACCTGGCGAATACCTCCACAAGCAATATTCACATAATAAATTCTCTTTTAATATATATATGGTGGTGACTAGATGGACCAAGGATAATGAAATAGCGACATGACAAGGACTGCATTATTTGTCGTGAAAAAAAAAATTAAAACCTCTGAATGTTAAATTAACAGTTACATTTAAATCGTAGCTTTCTCCGCTGATTATACCTGCACGAATTCCTTTTGCCCCGTTTTTAAACATAGCCTACTCAAAAGTAAACCCGCAAGTTGACCTGGCGAATACCTCCACGTTAGATGTCGTAGATCTATGACAGTTCGCAGATCTATGACAGGAGGACAGGCTCCTTCCTCTCGCTCGTTCTCTTCCCCACCCTCCCTTTTTGTGACGTCACAGTCTCCCGGCCAATGAGCGGCCTTCTTTTAAACCTCTGAATGTTAAATTAACAGTTACATTTAAATCGTAGCTTTCTCCGCTGATTATACCTGCACGAATTCCTTTTGCCCCGTTTTTAAACATGGCCTACTGAAAAGTAAACCCGCAAGTTGACCTGGCGTATACCTTCACGGTAGATGTTCGTAGATCTATGACAGGAGAGGCTCCTTCCTTCCTCTCACTCATTCTCTTCCCCCAACCTCCCTTTTTGTGACGTCACAGTCTCCCGGCCAATGAGCGGCCTTCTTTTCGGAGCGCGGGCGACGCGGGAGAGGCCGACGTTTTCAAACAGAGGAAGAGGAAAGGAGGCGGAATCGCTTTGCGGCCTCTGTGAGGAGGAAAGTCGCTATGGACTCCCTGGTAAGAGAAAGGTCGCCCTTTTCTCCCCCCGCCGCCGCCGCCGCCCTCGCCCTCAAGGATGGCAGTTCGACCGAGCTCGGCTCATTTTCCGCCCGCCAGAGTTAAAGCGGCTATATTCGTAGACCTGGCCCTACAATTACCTCTTTCCTTAGCTCTATTGCGTTTAATGCGAATTAGGGGTTATGTTGGACAAGCCGGGTCACCTTTTAAAGTCGTCGAGTGGTGAGAGTTCTCGGGGTGTGAGAAAAATCCGAAAGCCTCTGGTTACGGCGTTATGATACGCTATGGACTCCCTGGTAAGAGAAAGGTCGCCCTTTTCTCCCCCCGCCGCCGCCGCCGCCCTCGCCCTCAAGGATGGCAGTTCGACCGAGCTCGGCTCATTTTCCGCCCGCCAGAGTTAAAGCGGCTATATTCGTAGACCTGGCCCTACAATTACCTCTTTCCTTAGCTCTAATGCGAATTAGGGGTTATGTTGGACAAGCCGGGTCACTATATATTGCTCCCTTTTAAACTCCTCGAGTGGTGAGAGTTCTCGGGGTGCGAGAAAAACCCGAAAGCCTCTGGTTACGGCGTTATGATATCTGACGTATTTTACCCAAATATACAGGCTGAGCATAGATAGGGCTTCACGTTTTTCACGTCCCAATGGCTGCTGCTGCCCCATGAAGTTTCTATGCAGTCTAAATGATCACATTTCCTCCGGAAGCAGGAAGGGATGGGGAAGGAACCATTCGGATATTGCCTGGCCATGAAGAGCCACCGGCCTGACATAGTCTTAAAACCGTCTTTAAACTACTGTAGGGTCAGTAGGGAATGAATATTTGCCACCTTGCCAACGTGTAGGTCGGTTACAATCAGAGCTGCTAGGCTGAAAGGGATGGGATCTTGACGGTATCTTGACCAATCCTCATCTCATGAGATACAGGAAGCTTGGAAGGGAAGCTGGTGCATCTTCTTTGCAAAAGGCACGTTCTCAAAAGTCAAAAAGCAACAACTTGGTTCTTTGCTTTGTGGCAGGAAATAAGCTTCCCTGAGAGATGGGCTGATAACTGGTGTATTTTTGTTAGATGATGGGCTTTTGCTAATTATATTTAAATTAAAGTTTTGCTATTGCAGAAGTAGCATTAGCAACATTGACTGTCTTAACGGATCTTGTTGGTATTTATAGGAGCAGATTTTCTCATATTTGAAATATTAAAATAAGATCCTGAAGTCCACGCTCTCCTCCAAGGCTCGTCAGTCACTTGGTGCTCTGATGTCCATTTGACCTCTTCCAGATTCTGTTTTCTGGTAAAGCCTGCTTTCTTTATGGCATGAGGAAAGAGCAGGCAATTTCTTCCCCTCCTCTAGACCATATATGGCTGTATTTTGCTTTGTGGTCTTACACCTTAAACCTTTCTCCTCATCTACCAATGCACCTATAAATATTTTTGTTGAAATGTTTTCCCTATGTGGGGGACCACTATCATAGGTCACCTTCAAATTTACTGGCAAGTTGCTTTGGAGTGCACTACTAGGTCTATTTTTGATACACTGAGATTCTCTGATTTATTAGGTAGGGGTTTGCTTTTCAAGGTTCTAGATGCTTTTACAGTAAATAGATTTGTATCCAAGGCTCCAAGAGTTAAGGGAGCGCTGGTGGACAAAAACGGAAGCCAGGGTCAGAAACAGGTCTGAGGTAACAGGAACAAGCAGAAGTTTGGAAAACATAAAATCTGAAATAGTTTTGTGTCTGCAGGCAAAGAAATAGATCGTCTCAGACCAAAGAAGTGAGTGGCTTGCAGGATGCCAGAAGAAACAGTGTAGCAACCCTTAGCTGCCGAGGGAGAGCTACAGAGTAACTCAGAAAGGAAAAAATAGTTTAAACAGAGGCTTGACTATCTCTCTGCAAAATAAACCAGCTCATCCAAATAAATATACACATATAAGCCTCCTAAAAAAGTAAAAAGATAGTAATGGAGGGAACTGATCCTCAAGATTTACCTCATGAAGTGGAGGGAAATGGGAGTCCCTGTGAAAATACCTGTAGAACAGGAGGGACTTGCCACAGTTTGCTGTGGTCCACATAGTCAAAGGCTTTTGTGTAGTCAATGAAGCAGATGTTTTTCTGGAACTCTCTGGCTTTCTCCATAATCCAGCGCATGTTAGCAATTTGTGTTAGCACATAAAGCTGACATCTCTGGCGCAGAGTCTTATCCAGTCCAAATAACTCACACATACACAGGCAGCTTCTCCCGACACCAAAGTATATTTACAATATATACAGCACTTCCAACTGGCAGCATGACATCAAGCAGTGGATCAGTGGTGGAGGTACTGTACATCATCAGTTCAGCTTCACATATATATATATACTTATACATATTAGCATATAACCAATCAAAGCATGTTGCATCCTTATGATTCAGCATATGTTGCATCATCCATGACTCAGCATTACTCAGCATTCTTGTACACCTGTGCAATCATGGGTGCTCATTAATACAAACCTTGTTCTGCCAGGTTAGGAAATTATTCTTGCCAATTTGGTCTCTAATTCCTCTGCCCCTTTGAAATCCAGCTTGTACTTCTGGGAGTTCTCGGTCCACATACTGCTGAAGCCTGCCTTGGAGGATTTTGAGCATAACCTTGCTAGCGTATGAAATTGTACGGTAGTTGGAGCATTCTTTGACACTGCCCTTTTTTGGGACTGGGATGTAGACGGACCTTTTCCAATCCTCTGGCCACTGTTGAATTTTCCAAATTTGCTGGCATATTGAGTGTAGCACCTTAACAGCGTCATCTTTTAAGATTTTAAATAGTTCCACTTGACTTCACCAGGCCGTGGACCCCTGATCTAAGATATCTTACAGAAGGCAGAATGTAGCAGAGTGTACTGCATTTTTAAATATGAATGTGTGTATGCCCCATGTAAGATATGTTAGTTTGCTCTGGATTTTATTTTAGTTTTTCCTGGGGAAATTTTTTTTCAAATGAGGACGCTACCCCCAGCCATCTTGGAGGCATCCTGGGGAGGGCACCAAGTGCTGCCTTGTCAGAAAGGCTCTTGTTGGACAAAGCCAGCAGAAGGGTCCTTGTTAGCCGGCTGCTCCCTGGAGAGGGAGGTTGGGGAACGAGTGAGTGAAAGAGCGAAGCCGTGCGGTGGGATGGGGCTCCACTGTCCCCATCACCACCTTTGCCTGCCTGTCTCCTCCTTCATCTGCAAGAATCCAGGACATGGAGCTACTTGCGGGGGACGTTGGCGGGAGAGAGGGCATGAGCCAAAGCCAGAAGGGGGGAGAGAGATGGAGCGACTTTGCAAATCTTGCCTCCCAGAGGCAGCACTTCCTCCGCTCACCCAGCTGGCCTGTCTCTGTGCTTTCTCAATTGGACCGGCAGGTGGGCTTTTTATGCACAGGCTGCAGAGAGAAGCTGCCTTCCAGGGCCACTGGAAATGCCTTAGGAAACCAAGCTGGGCAGGGCTGTGTGTCTTTTTAGGGGCAATGAAAGGGAGGAGAAAGAGGAGGGTTCCTCTCCCTGTCTCTCAGGAGCTTCCCTCATGCCTGACCTCCCCTACCCCAGGCTCCTTCTGTGCAACTCTTTAAGTCCAAGTGAAAGAAAAGAAAGGGGGGACGGTCAATCTGTTGGTCCTCTTCCTCTGCCCCCCCACCTCAACCAGCCCTCCGTTTCCAAGCGGGGCAGGGAGAGGATCTTTTAAAGCGGCTTTTTCCAGGAGAAGGGAGAAAGTTGACGGAAGACGCTCCTTCATGGATGATCCCTGGGCTGGCATTGCCTCTTTCTCCGCCTTCCTGGGAGGGGTCGGAGATCCGTGTCTGCAGCCCAGTTCCGGCATGCCCAAAGACCGGCACCAGGCCGTGGACCCCTGATCTAAGATATCTTACAGAAGGCAGAATGTAGCAGAGTGTACTGCATTTTTAAATATGAATGTGTGTATGCCCCATGTAAGATATGTTAGTTTGCTCTGGATTTTATTTTAGTTTTTCCTGGGGAAATTTTTTTTCAAATGTTTAAACATGTCATGAAATGTTGTGGACCTTTTCATCTGTGATACGTCTCTCACTGATGTAGTTAACACTGATGTGAATTTCTCCTTGACTGTGGTACATGAAGGTTTCACATGTAAGACAGTATCTAGTCTAGGAATAATTGATATCAGTGAGCATTTAATTCTGTCTTTTCTACTACATTTAATGTTTTGTTGTATTCCTGATATGTTCGTTGCAACTGTGAATGGTTCTGAAAACAGTATAGAAAGGTATCAAAAATATAAATCTTTGTAATAAATATTTCATTCTGTTTTCCTTTTCAAGAAGTATCTTTATAATGTTTTCTTTGTTGTTCACAGGATCACTTAAAAACCCACTATAGACCAAGATACCTCAACAGAGATGGGTAACTGATATTTGTTTCTTAAACTTTGTTCTGAAACAACTAAAGTTTTATATTTTTGTATCAGTATGGAGTATTTCATATTGCCTTGAATCAAAACAACCAAAAGCAAAACACCTATTTTCATAATTGCAGTTGTAGAAGGGGTAGCCCTCTTAGTCTGTGCAAGCATTATACGTGCAGTAGTGTGTGAATTATCCCCCACCTTAGCAAAGTGAGAACCTACAAAGGTAAAACAGATTCTTTACTCTGCTTTTGTGGTCACCCATTGCCTGGGGTAATTCAAACACTATTGCAACTGATTACAAAATAAAGCTTGTAGGGAAGAAAGTTTATCAGTCTAAATAGCCAATATAATTCACATTCATGTTACTCTACCATTGTTATCCATTGTTATTTTATGGCAGAGATTCTCAGATTCTTTATGCCACAAGCTTCAATGAAAGACCTGCATATCAAAGACGCTATCACTTTCTTACCAACCAACCACAATCTCTGTATTTTACTGCCTTGTATAAATATAGGCGTGTTAAATCTCCTTCTCTTATGTCTGATGAAGTTGGCTTGTCCACAAAAGCTCACATTAGAAAAATATGAAAGTTAGTCTTTAAGGTGCCATCATGTTTTGCCTTTTTTTTACTTTTTGTTTCTATTTTGCTTTAAAATATTTTCATAACTCTCAAGATGTTTGTTATATTTCAGTTTGTTTCTTGACTATTCGTCCACAGAATAAATGAGAAATCACTTGTGAAACCAGAGTTTCATATAAATAGTTATTGATATGACACATTGCTACCAGGTATTTTTTTAAAAAACCATATGGGATTGCCTAAAGTTACCTATATGGATTGAGTTCATAATCTGTTAGCACAATAATGTAAATACAGTCTTATCAGAAATCTGTTTACTCTCATCCCACACCAACATAATATATAAAAATATTTATAGCTGATCATGGCAATTCGCTCATGCACATTTAAAATATCAGTAATTTGCTAAGAATGCTCTGATGCATGCATAAAAGAACCCTCCTGCCTGTCTAGATGTAGCAAAACATTTTGGTCTCACAAGTGCATTTCCTCTGTGGCCATTTAATTACCCTATTAATTAAAATGAATTCACATGTAACTATAATTTTTCTGTGCATTGTATGTAGTTCTCGATGACTACAGTGGTGCCTCGACTTACAAGCATAATCCGTTCCAGAAGATGGTCGTAACTCGAAATGGTCATAAGTCAAAGCACCATTTCCCATAGGAATGCATTGAAATCCCATTAATCTGTTCTGGCAGGAAAAAATAATCACACATCCCCCCCAGAAAAGCACACACAGAAAAACACCCACTCCAAGCCCCATCGGGAGGTGATGGTGCTGGGGAAGAAAATCAAACAATACACCACAGCCAGTTCCATCCAAACGCGATGGGGGTGGGGGAAAATTTAACACCCTCCCCAGCCAGCCCCAGTGGAACACCATGGGGCTGGGGGAAAAAAAATCAAACACCCCCTCCAGCCAGCTCCAGCAGAACGCGATGGGCCTGGGAAAACACACACACCAAAAAAAAAAAAAAAATCATAGCACAGAAACATAACTCTCCCAAACCCAAACCCTCCCTGCAAATCCCTGTACTCATCCAGAAGCAGAAAGCAGCACCAGGCAGCCCGAAGCCTCTCTGCAAACAGGCACACACTAACTGTTGGGGTGAAAGAGCTACAAAGAAGCTCTTCCCCGACCAATGGTTAGTCCTTTAATTTGAATTCCCAGCCTTTTTTCCATGCCTCTTTTGTTTGCAAATAAAAGCTTCAGCCGCAAGTCAAAACAAAATTTTGCAGCCGGAGTGGGTTGCAACTTGAAATGGTTGTATGTTGGGATGTTTGTAAGTCGAGGCACCACTGTACTTTTGACCTTTTATTTTTTTTAATACTCTTTTATCATTTTCCAATTTGTAAACTCATAGACTTTTTAAACAGTTTAGTCATCTCAAGATCTTATCTTGTAACTTGTTTTTATCAAGTAGCCTTCATGCATGGTTTTTCCCTTTGATGTTTTTAATTTTATAAAACTATCTGGTTTTATAAAACTACAACAAGACAAGTACGAGTGTTTTCTAACAACAAGCCTTGGCTAAATAGAGAAGTGCGCCTTTTATTAAAAGCCAGAAATGCTGCTTTTCATTCTGGTGATGAACTACAGTATAGAGAGGCCAGAGCTAAACTGAAAAGGGGCATTAGGGATGCCAAAGCTATGTACAGCCAGAGAATTGAACAACACCTTGAAAGTTCTGACACTCGCCGAGTGTGGCACGGCCTA